CAGTCACCCTGGAATGTACTTCGAATCGTCTTCTTACTCTGTTCGTGTTACTGTGAATTTACTTATCATTTTGTTAACAATGTATATTTTTATAACTTTACTGTTTTACCAGTACCTCTGTTTATTATTACGTTATTGCACCAACATTACCGTTTTTAACGAGAAATCTTGTATATCGTATGCTTAATCTTTTAATTAATGTTCAACGCGTCGAACCCACATGTCAAATGTAAGTCCACATTTTTGTTCATTTATGTCAATCACGGCCTTTTTATAAAATTGTTAACCTCCTATTAATTTTTGTAGCAAACAGCTGATGAGGGACTCTATGTCCAAAATGCATTCTGAAAATAAAATAGTGTTTTTCTAAATCTAGTTTGATGTCCTGTGGTGGTGTAATAAGTCTAGAAGTAAAGTAAAGCCAATCTTAGCGCTCACTAACCATTGAGAAGACTAGACAAGAAGCGTATCATAGTATCCAATAATAGTTATTTGATTTCTAAAAATTTAAGCAGATTTTATTGTTACTGTACTTCTTAATTTATTCATAATGAGATCAAACATTTATATAGAAATATGTTGATACAACATTATTCTGATGATTCTACAGAACACAGACAAAAAGTTTAGAAAAATGAACCTTTTAGAAACACTGTAATATAAAGAACACAACTGTAGCTTAGCTATTTCAAATTATACAAAAGTAGAATTTTGTTTCATTAAAAAAAATTATTATTATTGTCATGTTTTCTTAAGAGTTTTTTTTTAAGATAATTTTCCTGTGGCAGATCATCATTGGTTTAATCTATGGTTCTAGTAGTTAAATCTATTACTAGATTACTCAAAATGTAAATAGTTTTTAACATATGAACATCAACTTTATAGACTAAAAGATTAGCACAATGATAACAGCAAGAAAAAATAACAAAATTCCAGTTTTTGAATATTTGGGTCTGAAAATGGGTCAAAAGTCCTGAAAAATATTTTATCCAATAAAGCTTTGACTCCTAAAATTTGTAGTATTTGTTTTTCCCCTCCTATGAAAATGTAATTTTATAAGCAGCAATACAAGTAAATACAACTGAACAATCAGCTTTCTACAGTCTTTAGAATTAAGCACAAAATTACTCTAGAGAACTTATTACACAGGAATGCATTTTTTGATGGAAAAAGTAGACTTTATTTTCTATTTTTCATGAAAGGAACACATTTTTATTTTTAGCCCATTTTTATTGTTTTATTTTAAAGTTTTTATGCTTTTACCCTTTTGTTTGACACTTTTTCTGTATTTTAGCAAGTTTTACCATTAGTTTTACAGCTTCATTTGTTTTACCCCTATGTTTTTTAAATGCTTAGTTATTCCAGCAGTCACCATTTAGACATTCCAGTTTTATCATTATTATACATTAAAGACTGATGAGGAACAAATGGCCCAAAACACATTTCGTTTCGTGAAAAACAAAAAATAAAGTCTACTTTTTTCCATCAAAAGAAAAGCATTCCTGTATGATAAGTTCTCAATAGCAATTTTGTGCTTAATTCTAAAGAACACAAGAGTGAACAAGAAGCAATCGAGTATTAAGTTTTTACAGGTAACACCAATGAAAGACTTCTTGCCACCTTGCAATTGCTTAACCAGCTATGTCAGCTGTCCCTAACTTATGTGATAGATATAGAGAAATAGGTAAAGAGCTATTGATCCTTATTTAGAGATTCTTTCATAACCAACTACATTCCTCTGCATGTCTTAGCTAACATTACTGGAAAGGCTTTTACATTTTTGTTTATTATTATTAAAAAGCCTCCTTGAGGCTTTTTAATAATTTCAGATGACAGAGAAAATCAAAAATAAAAGAACATCCAGAAAAAATTATTACATGCAGAGAGAATAAAAAATAACAGGATACTAAAATTAGCATTTTTATACAGACTAACAAAAATCAAAAGCATACAAAGCAATGGAAAGAACAAGACTCATCTTGAAAACTACAAAGTTAATATAAAAGTTAATATAAACCTAAATTCTTAAACACTTATTGTTATATTTATTGAAATTATACTGGTATATATTTTTGTAATATTCAGAATTCTCATATATTGATTTAGAAAATATAAAGTTTTCCTAGTGAAATTCCTACTATAAAGTGATAAAATGTAGTAATATTAAAAAGTTTACACTAAACTTTTGGATTCTAGGTAATTATCACATGAATCAAATTTTATAATAAACTAAATTTTAAAATTGTTATAATAGAAAATTTCTCATTACTATCATCAATTTTATACAATTTTATTCAATCAATTATATACAATGTTTAAAAATTTTTAAACATTGAACAGTTCTAAAAAGTTAAAACAATTTCTTTATTTTATATTCTCTTATATTTTCCATTATATCAATGATGGATATAGTATAGTAAATTTCATTTATTCCTTTATTTTATTCTTCTACTTCTATTCTAACATCATAATATAGATTTTCTTCAAAAACATTGTTAATAAAGTTTTGCTAAATATTTTCTTTCAAATTAAGTCTTTTCTACAATAATGTTTTAGAAAGATTAAAATATGAAAACAGAGCTTTGTAATTTTAAAGTACTACTAAAAAATGCACAAAACTTGTACCACATTAAAATTTAAGAGACCAATCTGCTAAATTTAGTAATATTTTCATCCATTCTTCTCTTTCATAGAATACAAATGAATAAGATAGAATGTGTGTCTAAAATTAAAAAATTGAAATTACTACATACTTCTTACTATTCAATTTGATTTAAAATCATGAAGTTATATTCTGACTGCCTTGAAAGAAAAAACTTTTTTATTAATATTTGCAATATTGTATAATCATGTTATATGTATAACCCAAAAGTAAAATCAAAATTTCATATCATTGTTTCAAAACAAAAACCAAACTACATTAATCAATCATATAAATTAACAGGTGAATTATAGTTAACAACAGAAATTAATTGAACTATTTAATGAATAATTAAAAATTAAAAATTTTAAGAATTATGTAAAAAATTTTATACCAAACATTCATTACTTTATCAAACTTTGTTTCAGAACAAACTAATTCTAATTTTATATAAGGCTAAAATCTAGCCTTATATAAAAATATTTTAATAATAAAAATTAATCAACAGTTTCATCACTAAGATAATGCACTTAATAAAAACATTACCATGTGTGTCTAAATATCATCTCAAACTATCTTATCATGTTAATAAATTAGTCTAAAATAAATAATTATACTCACTACCTACTTTTTAAAAGCATATAAAGATATGAAAACAGAACAATATTTTGTAACTCATATAAAAATCCAAACAAAACTAAATCACATTTATATATTTTTCTTTTGATACTATGAACT